GTGAGGGTCTGGCACCAGAATCATGAATATTTTCATCAAGATTGGCTCATTTAACCTTTATTAAATCTGACGAGGTAAATAAAATTATATTCCCACTGGAAAACTGAGGCACAGAGAAGCAGCAGCGATTCCGACTCAGAAAGTCAGCTTTATAGTTCGCGTTTTCACGAGCTGAAATATGCAAAGCAGCACACAATAAGCATTATATTAGTGTTAGCTATTGTTATTTCTACTAAGATTAACATAATCATCCTTATCTCATACGTTCCTGTAAGAATTAACTAACTAATGTGTGGGGGAAAAAAAAAAACCCCAGACCGAAAGTCCGTGACTTGTACGGAGATTTTTTCCAGTTCTACTAATCCACTTTTCTGTAGACACGCGAGTTCACTCCGCCCTCCCCAAGGTGGCGCCATCCCAGTCCCCCTCTCCACCGTCCTCCCCACTCAAGACGGCGTCCTTTGCGATTAAAAGCCGTATTCCTCGCCCTTCTCGAGATGGCGCCAACAGCAGTCCTTGCTACCTTCCTCCTCCTTCAAGATGACTTTTAACAGTGAGTATCAACTGCGCATGCGCTGACCCTCTGCACAGTAAACGTAAGGCGCACCACATTTTGACCTTTTCAAGATGGCGGGACGGCGCTGCGGCCGCAAACTCGCGTAGCAAACTCACGACAACTCAGCGGCTCCTGTCAAAGGCACTTCCGGTTGCGCCGGCGGGAGCCTCACCCGGCCTCTGGTGGCGCTGAAAGAGTCCTTCCGACCCCAGGACTCTCTGGCTGGACCATGGACCGTCGGAAAAAGCCTCTGGACGTCACGGCCTCCTCGGTGAGTGAGGGTCTGAGACGATGCCGCGGCCTTCGCGTTATTCCCTGCCTCCATCACACGAGAATCTCGATCCAGCTTGTTTCCTCCCTCAGGGACCCACCCTGGCCTGGCCTCTTCTCTTAACCTAGGTTTTCTTCTCCGCCGGGGTACCCGGGCCAGCGTTCTTACTTACAAAACCCTGAACTGGGCTCTCCCCCTCTGACGTTGACGTGCACCTGCCCCACGCTTCACCCTTTAGACACGGACCTAAGCCAGGTTTTCTCTCGGTTAGAAATCTCCCTCCCTCCTCTCTTCCCTACCCGCAAGGACCGGCACTTGCCCGGCTTTATCTCCCCTACTGTCGGAGAGGAACCCCGGCCTTTTCCTGCTATGCAGACTTATCCCCTTCCTGGCTTCTCTTCCAACCCAGGGAGCAGCAAGGTCCTTCCATAACTTTGTGAGTTATTCCCCAGGATCCAAGAGTGCCCAGCGAACTCTTTTCAGGAACTAAAAAAGTTGTTAATGCGCTGCCTGGGAACTGTGAGGGTTGACAGGATGTAAGCAGTTTTGCTAAGTTAGCGACTCTAGGAAGGAAACATGTTCCGTATATTTTGTCCCAGCACTTTATGTGCACTGGCTCACTGACTCCTCCCAACTGCTGTGGGAGGTGGGTGCTACTAATGTCCCCCAGTTTATGATGAAACTGAGGTTCAGAAAGGTGAAGGTGCTTCCCCCAGCTTACCTACAAAATTCTTAGTGCTAGAACTTGGCTCGCACTATCTGATTGACTCCGAAGCTGTTGCCTTTTCTAATACACCAGAGCAAATTGCTTACCCTTCGATTTAATCTTGAATTTACTGCAGAGTATTAGGATATAAAGGAAGTTCAAAGCAAAAAGTGTAAACGTCTCGATATTTGAGTCCTTTTCCTCATCTACTACTGAAAATTGGAACAAGCTATTATGTTTAATGATAGGAACCAAAAAGCTGTAAATATTAAAGTGAACCTATCCTGACAGGTTCACATTAGCAACAACTGTAATAGAAGTGAGCGCCATTTGAGAATTGATAATTTTCTGAGCATCTTGCTTTCAAAATTCAAAAGTGGTTGTAGAATAGGAAAATAATGTGGCTGGAAAATTGATGTAATTAAGAAGTCCTGGAAGAGATGTGGCCAGGGAAGGTGACTTATGCCTTTAATCCTAGGCAGGAGGATTACTTGAGGCCAGGAGTTCAAGACCAGCTTGAGCAACATAGTGACAGTGTATCTCTACAAAAAATATTTATAAAATTAGCTGGGCTTTATTGGCTTGTGCCTATAGCCCTGAGGTTACTAGGAGGCTGAGGCAGGAGGATTGCTTGAGTCCAGGAGGCTGAAGTTGCAGTGAGCTGTGATTGCACCACTGCACTCTACTCTGGGTGACAGAGCAAGATTCTGTCTCTTGAAAAAAGAAAAAATTGAAATTTTTTCATTTGTTTTTTAAGAATGTAGAATATTAGGTCCTAGAATGAAACTGCCTTTTGCATTATTAAAATCCCTGTGTTGGGCTTGGCACCCATAGCTCAGTGGTTAGGGTGCTAGCCTGCTAAACAAAAATGACAACTGCAAAAAAAAAAAAAAATAGCTGGACGTTGTCAAGGAAACCTGTAGTCCCAGCTACTTGGGAAGCTGAGGCAAGAGAATCACTTAAGCCCAAGAGTTCAAGGTTACTGTGAGCTTTGACACCACAGCACTCTACTGAGGGCAACATAGTGAGACTCTGTCTCAAAAAAATAAATAAAAAGAAAATAAAAATCCGTGTGGTTACTTTTAAATTGATTTCTTCCAAAATAGAAATCATCAAACTTAATCATTTTTATTTTTCTTAAAAGTAAGTCAGTGGCATCTGATTTTAAAATGCCCATGCATATAAGTAGCCATACATGAACCCTTAAAAAAGAAACTGTCATTCTGAACTTTTTTTTACAGAGTAGACAGTAGTAATTAATAACAGCTGAGGGATCAGCATAGTTATTCACCCAACTGCCATGTTTCCTTTGCCCTGACCTTCTTTCCTTTCTTGGACCCTGTGATTTAGCTAAACTTACAGTTTCTAAAATGAACTAAGTCATACTTGGAGCTTTTCTTATCATCTAGGCAGTCAGCTTTATTTCTAGCTGTTGAAATTTTGCCTATCTTTTAAGGCTTAGTTCAAAGCTTTAAGCTTTCTCTGATAACTCTGGGCAGTTCACCCTTCTCTGAACTTTTATGCTACTTTCTTTCACTCAAACATCATTTATTAGATTTGTTGCATTTTAATGTAACATTTTACTGGTATTATAAATTACCTTCTTTATTAGATTGTGGGGTCTGTGAGGCAGGGAGTATGTCTAATTATTGTTTGTGTCCTGCTCTTCACTGTTATGGGCCAGGCCCAAACTGGGTGCTCAGATAGATGCTGAATAAAAACATTTCCCTGTAGCAATAATAAATTGTTCTGATGACTAAATGAGATGAGCCAAGCTCTGTGCCAGTCAGAAGGTGCTTAGTAATAAAAGTTGAATATGAATCTAAAAGATGCAGACTTCATTCATTGACTTTGTTTTAACACTTTGCCTTTGCCCAAGGAAAGTCTTGAGTGTTGAAAGTTAGAGTACTGGCTGGGCACCTGTGGCTCAAGTGGCTAAGGCACCAGCCACATACACCTAAGGTGGCAGGTTTGAATCCAGCCCAGGCCCGCCAAACAACAATGATGGCTGCAAACTAAAAATAGCCGGGCGTTATGGTGGTTGCCTGTGGTCCCAGCTACTTGGGAGGCTGAGACAGGACACTCGCTTGAGCCCAGGAGTTGGAAGTTGCTATGAGCTGTGATGCCATAGCACTCTACCCAGGGGGACAGTTTGAGGCTCTGTCTCAAAAAA